CCTAAATTGTACAAACGACCGGTTTCAATAGACCGGCGAAATTTCTCATTTTATTAAAGCACTGAGGTTACGACAACTTCGAGTTAAACTGATTTCACGGGTTGTCAAAGAGTCCAGCGATTCCTTTTTCCCAGGTGAGCGCCGACTCATTTCGCTTCAATATTCAGGAATGCTCTCGATCTTTTTACGCTTTCATTGCCTCTCGCCCGACATGTTTTGCACGGCGTTTGGTCATGCGAAACCTCAACACAACATCCACACCTCGCGCGAGGTAACTTTATCCCGATTCTAAAAATAACTCGAGACGAATTACCTATGGAATAGGGTGTATATGGGGGATGCCCTCTCTGTCCCCTTTATAGTCTCTTGTCTGAAAACTAATGATTTTTCCTAAAAGTCAACAATTGAAGTTAAACGTATCCGGTTGAAAAGAGTCAGTGGCAAATAGTTTTGACAGCTGTAAACACTGTTGGCTTTTTCTAGAATTATTACCTTGCGAACACAAAGCAAATGGAACAAAGGACAAAAAAATGGCACGAGCCTTTTTGTGGAGCTAAAACCTCTTTATGCAAATTCAGTAGTATGAATTACTAGAAAAAACATCAAAGCGAATATTTGATAGCTATACATGAAATTCGAGGCAAATAAAGAATTCATGGAAAATCTCTCCTTACAATATAAGGGAATAATACAAACTAATAAGTGTTGCTTTTGAGACATGATGCTTTCACTTAACCATTATATCTATATTTTTTAAGTCATTATTACTGACAGAAAAACATTAAAAAGGAGAATCCCGGGAAATGATGAAGACCAAATAAAGCTATACAGTTTTAATTAATATGTGTCCAGAGGATGAGCTTTGGCTCATTCCCAAACAACGACTGGCAATCAAGCCTCCGTTTGAACCCAGGAGTCATTTCAAAATGGATTTGAAAAGTGGATTGAGCATGATCGTCCGTCGGGTGATCGTAGTCTCGTTGTTGACAATAAGTTCTCGTTGCCGTCGCCGTACACATCAAACATCAGTCTTCAAATATTATTTGCGGGCAGCAAACTATAAGGAGCAATGGAGGCTGACTTAGCCAATGATTTTAATCTTAGTTTCTCACTGTGTCTTTCATTTCTAATGTATTATGGTTAAGTGTAATTCAATCTAGAAATAGTATATTGTTTATCCACATAAACGAACAGGATCTAGAGTTTAGTTAACCTAGCTTTCGTTTGGCACCAAGGTTAATAAACCCAGATAAGTTTCTTCTCACAGCACCAAAATATACCCCATTGCCTTAATATGCTGGTCGCCATTATCTGGAGCGCCTGTAACCTCGTTTCCACATGAATTTCTATCATCAGGATGTCCTCCAGTACCAAATCCAATTCTAGAGTCACAAGAGGTGCATGCGTCTTCGTCGTTACTAATAATACCGATTCTTGCTTTGGAAGCGAAACGACCAGTACCAACAGCATTGAACCCTTCCTTGTTACAGTTGTGCTGCAAGGATGCCTTAGAACCAATCAGTGACTTCCACGTGTCACGACCCAGTGAGGTGTTGCGGTATTGCCCATCAGCGATCAGAGAGAACAAGGAGTTCGCCTGCTTGTTGATGACAATAAACCTGATCTTTTGGTCGATCTTTATGCCGAGGCAGATCTTGGAGAAGGATGTGTTCCAGTAGGAGGGCAGTTTAGTCTCTCGTGAG